CTCCTTACGATGATGCTGCAGAGATAACCGCTCTGGGTAATTTATCTCTTAATGGTTTTCTATCTGAGGTCCGTATGCTCATTGTTAACTGTTAGCTTATACTTGCCAGAGATTTTAATTGCTGTTTTCGTAGATGCAAATTCCTTTAAACATATACTGATGCAACCAATGTTGGGGAACGAATCATGTGGAAATTGGAAATCATGTTTTTGGTTTGAAGACAATGGCTCTGAAGAAAACTCAAATTCCATTCTTAGAGGTTTTGAATAAATTGACTTAGTGATGTCACAATTAGGAGTTTTTCTTTCCTAATGATTGGATCTAAGAAATTGAAATTTAATTTTGGCTTAATTCTTAGGTCAAATTTAAGTTAGTGTCCCGTTTTTTATTTTCCTTTAATTTTACTTTTCAGAATTATTTAGTTTTCCAATTTTACTCCTAGTTTCCTATTTTCTATTTGGTATGTTAATATGTAAGGTCTAATTTGTATATAAGAAATTATAGTGTTCACTTTTGTTATTTTCCAATTCTTTGTTGAGTGGTTGAAACGGAGAGCTTAATAGATGCCCTGTTGTCTGGTATTCTGAGTTAATGACTGGATTTAGGGAGGTTGTATCTTTTTCCTGTGAGGTCTTTCTCATACACCTCCGTTGCTACACCATAATCCCTTGAAATACAGTTTTTTCTGGAAACGTTAGCTTTATACTATAGTGGAGTCGTGAATGGTAGTTTGTTTGTTTTAATGAAAGAGGCAATATTTTGAATCATGAAATGGATCATCAACATACTTAATATAAATACTCTGTTTCTCCTCTTCATAGTTAATCTTTATCAATGTTATTGTTTGATCTTCTTAGCGAATTGTAATCAGGTCTGATTAACATGTGGTTGCAGTGGGACCTTATGACGTTACTAGATCCATTCCGTAGTTTGGCCAATCTGGTATACATTGGATACAATGGTGATCCTGCATCTGCACTCCGTGTTACTAGAAGAAGAACAATAGATCGTAAGAAGCAAAGAACAGAAAGAAGCGTTTTCCAGTGCTTTGTTTTTGGTCCAAAAAATGCTGGCAAATCTACTCTTTTGGATTCTTTGTTAGGAAGGTACTTCTAACGGGTTGCTGCAATCAATCATGCTTAATCAGTATAGAAGTTTGTGATGTTTTGACTTTTGAGCTTTCTGCTTTGTAACGCTGACTTTTGTATTCAAAGATGCTCAATCAGTGGAAAAATTAGTGATGGTTTTCACCTCTGAGCCTTCTGCTCTGTAACACTAATTTTGCATTTTGTCATCATTGTTTTGCTTTTTCTTTGAATAATGTTAATTTATTTATTGCCGATCTCAAGTACAGGCCTTTCAAGTCGAGTTATCTTACTTCAACTACAAGTGAGCGTTTTGCAGTAAATGTTGTTAACCAGGTTGGGGTGAGTACTATCAGCAATACTGTCCCTTGTTGATCTAATAGCGTTATCAAACCCCCTTCCCCAGATCCTTTCATTTACATACATGATTGTCAGGTTGAGAAAAATATTAACTCTAATTATGTCCTGGTAAAAAGTCATCATTTGTTAACCAAGAAAAAAGCTCTTTCATCCTGGTATCTTTTTTTGAATATGTCTGTAGGTTGGGTTTTTCATTTGACCTTGTGCACTGCTTGTTCAGGGTAATAAGAAGACTCTTATATTGAGGGAGATACCAGAAGATGGATTCAAAAAATTTCTCTCCAATAATGAATTTCTTGGACCGTGTGATGTTGCCGTCTTTCTCTATGACAGGTAAGTTTGATACCCTTTTTACGTATTAACAACTCAATGGTCTCATCTCTTAAAATATTGTTAATATTTTCACCTGTGAGGTTATTGCTTTGTGTCAACATAGTCAACCAGATATATCTCAGATTTTCCCTAGCTCTATCTGCGCCTGTCCAGCTTGTGCTCATGACACATTTATAAAGTACGTGTGTTTGCCTTGTAATGCTGCGTGCCTCAATTGGTGATTGGTTCTTCAACATAAGTCTATAGAGAAAAAAAAATAAACTAGACAATTACGTCTTTAGTAGTCATCGCATTTGTATTTTATAGGTTCACCGTTTAGAGTTCAACTAGCCAGCCCATGCAATCTTTGCTTATCTCAGTTCAGCATTTGAAATGATCTTTTAGAAATTTCCATCTGGGTTGTGGTTTGTAACCGCTCCTTGTATATCTCCCGCATGTCATGACATGACATTGTTGTTCTTTCTCCAGTTCAGATGAATACTCATGGAAGAGATCACAAGAACTGCTGGTGGATGTTGCTAGGCAAGGAGAAGAAAGTGGCTATGGTGTACCTTTTCTCCTTGTTTCTACTAAGACTGACCTGAATCCATATCCAGTTGCAATCCAAGATTCCATGAGGGTACACCATTTTTCATTGGTTGCCTTGTCCTTAGTCTCGCATGCTGGCATTACGAGGCAATCAGATCCTGATAATTGCAAATTTTCTGTTCTAGGTTTGTCTGAAATTGGGAATAGACGCACCTATATCTGTGAGTGTGAAGTCGGGTAATTTGAACAACATATTCAATAGAATTGTAGATGTAGCTGTGCGTCCTCACTTGAATATCCCCGAAACTGAGATGGGGAGGAGCCGGAAGCACTATCAACAGCTTGTTAGCCGCTCTCTTATGTGTATCTCAGGTCTGTCTGTTTGAACGGCATTTTCTAGGGCCGGAGGGATGGTTGCATTTTGCAAACAAACTACTACGACATTATGTTGCCTAGATGCAACTATTAATTGGTTTCTGTTACAAATTTGCAGTTGGGGCTGCTGCTGCTGCTATGGTTGGAATTGCAATTTATCGTGTCTATGCAGCGAGGAGAAATACTTCGAATTAGGTATTGGGAGTTGGTTCTCTATCAACTGCTGCAGCTGTTTACTGCAGCAACTATAAATGGATGGTTGGTTGTCTTTTGATTTGCCCATTCTCTGTGCAGTTACCCAATTGGGCATTTTTGAAACAGTTCTGCGTAGCAACACTGGCAATCTTTTTTCTGTGGGTATGCTATCGTCGATAGTTTCATATTCTCAAGTTCACAGTGATTGTTATGTTAAAAACTTGTGGACCTTTGAATATTGTAAGTAATATTCCAATGTTCTGTTGATATGTAGTGACTAGTTAGAGACCCATCGCGGTGGGGTTGAACAATATTTTTATTTTCTGTTGGATCAAAGTAGAACACGGAATGGGTTAAGTCCATCCCTACAAGTATTTCATCTGATCTGCTTTTGCACGAAGCACTTGTCCTCCCTCTCCTTGGGGAAGGGCGAAAATGTTGTTTCGTTGGGCCTTTCTTAAGACCTCTGGTAGTAGTGCTATGTCAATCTTTTATCTTAGGGTAATTGTAAGAAATAGGCCGAAATTTAAAAGTTATGGAGGTAAATAGGTCAATTTACCAATTTATGAAAATTAATAGGCCATTTTGTATTTTTAATTTTTAATTTTCAAATTTACCATTTTCTTCTATGGATCATAACCTGTCATGACCGGAGGTCGGCGTAATATGTCAAGTTATGGACTTGATAGACTATGGCTGGTGATGGCGACTGACGACCGGCGTCATCTATTAGGTTATGGATCATAATTTGATAGACTATGGCTGACGCCGGTATAATCTGTTGGGTTACGGATCACAATCTGATAGATTATGACCGGCGGCTAGTGTAATTTGTCAGGTTATGATCCATAACCTGTCATATTATGGCCGGCAATGGGTGTAACATGTCAGGTTATGGATCATAACCTGTCAGATCATGGCCGACGATATGTGTAATATAAGTGTCAGCTTTTTTTAAAAAAATTATATTTTCCTTTTATGTTGAATCTTCTGTCTTCTCTCTTTCTTTCTCTAGTCTTCGTCTTCTCTATCTCCAATCTCTCCCTATCACTCTTTCTCTCTCCTAAACTCCCCTCCCTCCAATGACCTTTTCTCTCCCCCACTCTCTCTCCTCCGGTTCTCTCATCTCTCTCTGATATCTCCTCTGTCGACCTCTCTCTCCGACTTGCGACAAAGCTTGTCGATACTTTTCGTCGTTGCAAGGCCATCAGTCTTGGATCGTTGTTGCGAGGATTCACAGTCATGAGGCGTTGTGGTACAGATTGGTAGTTGAAGAGAGAGAAGAGAAGAGAGAAAGAGTAAGAGGAGAGAGAAAATGTGCACTAGTTTTTTAAAAAGAGAGAGAGGGAGGAGAGAGAAGAGAATGAGTGTTAGGATTTGTTTTGGCACGAGAAGGAAAAAAATGAAAGGTGTAAATATGTTGTACTTAATTAAGGGTAGTTCCGTACTTTTATTTAGGTGTAAATCTGAATTTACACTTAAATGGCCTATTTACTAACATTATCTAAATCTTAGCATATTAATTTTAATTTCCCTCTTAATTTGGCCTATTTCTCTTATAACAAGAGGCCCAACATCGGTAGGAATAACACATTGAGAAAACAACTAAACTTACTCTTAAAGTTTATAAATCTGGATTTTTACTCAATAACATATTGAGAAAATGACTGAACTTATCCTTAAAGTTCATAAATCTGGATTTTTACTCATTCTTTTTTATTAATACGCTTTTAACTAATATAGTCATTTGACTATAAAGGATATTAATAAAAAAATAATAAAAGATTAAAATTCTAACTCATACACTTTAAGATGTATTTGTCTCATTTTTCTAATAACATTTTATGCGCAATAATCAGAATAAATAGAAATAAAATAGTATACATTAGGCTGATGAAATCTAGTTATTCACTAATTCTACCTGTAAATTGAACCAATTATTTGAAAGTGGTATTCCTCTAATTTACCCAATCGAATATCGTTGCGATTGTGGTGCCATTTTAGGAATATATGGCTAATAGAAACCACTTAAAATTGTGGACAAGACCGTGGCTGCTATTGCAATTTAAAACATCTAGACTAGGAGGCACTGGGCAGGCAGCCACTAATCACGTACATTTTTATTACAATGGCTGTTTGTGTGGACTGAACTAGTCTTGTATCGGTAGCACATTGAGGGATTTTGTGGGCAATCTTGCTTGGGGACAAAGGAATGTTGGTCTTGATGTCAAATTGTCAATCTTTATATATACATTGTTTTCAAGTCGGCGTTAAATGTTGTCGCCGAAAGAAAAATCCTCAATTCGTTGCTGAAACAACGGCTTTAATAGTTAGATCCTCATGATCGAGAAATGTCTATGCATGTATTATATAGTCCTGGCGTATTTGTCTCATTGAAAAGAATCTTGTGACTTGTCCACTACTCTTTAAGAATTTTCCACCTCTAGAAAGTCATTACGATTCGATGGCTATTTTAGCATTGGTAAATCTTGACTTCGGGTAGTAAAATGAGTGCGTGGGAATAGGAACAAGAGGCTTGTTTATAGAGGTCTGCCTCTAACCCCCGTAGGATGTTTCCCTTTTGCTGATCACCTTATTACTCTCTTTCTAGCTAGCTAGTTTCTACACCCAAGAATTCAGTTAATCTCGTCCAATGAAAACTTATTTTGGTTCCATGCTGCAAAGCATTCAGTGCGTTTGGTATCGACATCCAACAAAATCTACATATATACTCACAAAATGAAACAATATATATATATATAGCATTTGATTTGAACCCATTTAGGTGCTATGGCTTAATGATAAAATCTACTTGAAATCCTCCAAAGAAAAAAAAAAAATTGAGAGTTGTGCATGAATTCCGTCCCATCTCGGTAAATTTTTTCAGTGGTTATTATTGCTTGTATTAATTTCTATAAGGTAGCAGTGCATGTTTCTTAACGTTAAATCTTATGAAAATCTGATGACGACGACGACATGTCATAATAATAATAATAATAATAATAATAATAATAATAATAATAATAAAAGAACGGTTGAACCTAACATAAGTCTGATTCTTTCATCACCTTTCACAAAATTCTTTCTATTAATTATCTTTTTTTTTTTTGTTTGCTTGGACATGGTTAATGCAGATATGATTAATGATGAAACATAACAAGAGTATCTACAACGTTTTGTCGAATATCAGGGCATCAAATCCCAGAGGCAAGGCGTCCGCGGTCCAGTCCTACTGTCACTGATATCCATAATTATCGAGGGCACAGAATCTTGGTGTGGATGATAGGGGCAATACGTGGCGAACCCAATTTTCTTCCCTGCCGTCTCATGAAAAGTGCAGTGCTATTGTTACTCGGTTGATGTGAAAAGCGTAGGAATCTTAGAGATTGGCGATTTTAGTGGATATGGTGAGGCCGGATAGAGTTAAACAAGATCTTGCTTCATTGATTTCTCTCTGTCAGAGGCTAACATGAGATGAGAGCTTTGGCTGCCTTTTCTTTTCATGGAGGAAACTGTTCAAAAGCATGCAACTGGGTCTGCAGGGACTGAGTGAATCATCAGGATTTTGTTAAGCAAAATGAAATTGGTTAAGCAGTACTTGTGTCAGTCAGCTAGTGCACTGAAAGAGAGATACAGGATCGTAATATATATATATATATATGTATATATATATATATTTATATTTATATATGTGTGTGTGTGTGTATAGAAAATTGTGTGTGTGTGACTGACCCTAACTGTTCAAACATCACGAGATTTGTAACTGTAACTGCTTTGACTATATAAGGTCTCGGTTGAGGTATTCCCTGGAAGTTAGGTTCACATTCTCTATTAAAATATAGAGGTAGATTTGGTAGCTAAATTTATTTCAAAATCAACGATTTTAAGAGCCTTCACTGTAAACGATAATTGCTTTTTTGCTTGGAGTAGATTAATTAGGAAAAGTCTTTACATATTCCCATGATAAGCGTGGCAGGCCCCACGTGATGAGGTTCACACTCTTACATCTTATGGGAATATAACCTCATCAGAATATATAGCGTTTTTCATTAATAAGATTGTAAAATAACACGTAATATTAGTTATGCATATGTTACGAACCTGTAACTAATGTAATAAAATATATATAGTATAGGCTAGAAAAAATACAAAATATTTAATAATTCACCCTTCTAATTTATTAGTACATATACAAAGCTAAAGTTTTGAATTATCCCAAGGAAAAACAAGTTTCCACCTTATGCATAAAAATCGAACCCAATATTTACTAATCACTACTCCCCCTACAAAAGCTATTCTAAGACTAAAATAACCGCATTTAACTAATAGGTTCACCTATTCAAAAAAAATTTTAGAGAAAACAGAATAAAATTTTACATAAAAATAAGTATCTTAATGATTAAGACCATAACATCACCGTGGCGGTATCCTTTAATTCCAATTTGATTTCACACTTTTACTATTTCAACATTAATATATCTTCTCAATGATCAATCCTATTAGTGATTTCTTGAGTGAGTGCTCCAATGCGAAAGATGAAGAGAAACTACTAAGGCCATTCAAATTATCCATCACAATATTCATTTATTTGGTTCGAAAGAGATTGTCTAGATGATTAATCTTCTCACTAAACTTTCTTTGGAATTTTAACATCTCTGTTGAGATATTCTGTGGAAGGTTCCCACTCTTTAAACTATATAAAATTCTTTAATTACTGTAAATTTGTAACTGTAATAATTAGTATAATCTATTAATGTTTATTTAAAACTGGTGACTCTTTTCCCCCCTAAAGTTTGATATATACATGGTCGGCATATTAAAATGCATATACCTCAGCCAATGTAGTAGAGGATGATTCGCAAATAATATACCCGTTCATTTCGCTGATTCGAGTTTAAAATTTGAGTTTTGCTACAGTAAAAAACTCTCACAAACAGTCACATTTAACTTTTTTACTACAGTAAAAAGCTCTCACTTAAAGTCACATCTCAACTCGAATTAAAAACTCGAATCAACGAACTAAACGGGCCCTTAATCTCTTTGCAAGACGATGAGTAATATTTTATTTTTATTTTTTTTTTGCTAAAGACCCCTGTAATCTTATAATTTGGATCCTTAATAAAGGCCCTTAGTTTAGTTTTTGATGACTAAAGATTTGAGATACATGGAACACATCGGTTTCTTTTTTTCTTTATTTTTTTCCCCTGGTAAATTCACGCAAGCAATTGTTGACCGTATATATTATAGATGGAAGATCAATAATGAAAGCCACGACTAACTCAGCTTGCAAATTGGTCGATCCTTGTTTTTCATGATGCATGGTACTTGTTTGTAGTATAATACAGTTACATTCATATTGTGCAATATTGTC